GTATTTATCTGTAAATAAAAATTATCACTTTAAAACGATTATTTATTTATCAATCATTAAATCCACAGTTCTCAGATACTACTTTTATACTATGAACTTACTACTTATCAATACAGAAACTATGAAAGTAGTAATTTAGTTATGCTAACAGTTTTTGACAACCCTATTTATTTATCTCTATAGACCTCTCATTGGTTTCTTTTCACACATTAAGCGTTTTTATTATTCCCTTCTAGGTTTCCATTAAACCCATACTAGAGTTCTGTTCCCCCTTCAATATATTCTATTAACCCCGTTTCAAACAATGAACTTACACCATTAAGAGTTGCAGTACACACGTTCACAGAAGGTAGACTTTGAATTAAATTTTTAAGGATAAATATGGAGTGTAGAAGTAAGGAGAACAGAATGTGTATTTAAAAGTGTCCATAGAAAACCATTAAATAGGAGTGGCGCCACTATAGCTACGGGGTAAATTTTAAAGAACGCACCGAAAAATATTACGAGTAGTAGGATAGACGACTTTTTCGAGGTTATATTTACAAAAAAAAAATTATTTTAGATTTAGAGCTACTGAGCAGTTTAGCAGCATACTTAAATCGTCGACAACTGCTAAGTTCATTTCATCCCAGTAGCTACTCCAGCGCGGTTGTGAAGAGTTTTTGAACTGTTATTTACTGCTTACAGATGACCACTTTTTCAACTATTCTAATATGGGAGTTGGTACTACTTACTTTTACAATCCATAGAGGATAAATGTCCATTTTGACATTTCAAAATTATTACCAACGCAAATAAAAATTCTAATGTGTAATACATTAAAATTCCTGTATTGAAAACTTTCTTCATTTTTTTTCTATTCACCCCGCAATTTCAATACACATCGTTTTAAGGTAGATAATGTATTCGGGTATCTTTTTGTCAGTTTTAACCAAGTATTTCTTATATTTAAGTCAGTTGGCACTTGAATGCATTTCCGGCAACTTTCCCGACGTTCAGATCGTTTTGCATTTAGGCACAACACAACAATGATATAAATGATAACTCATTATTAAACATTAAAAAGTATCTTGCTTCTTTACAAAATCGGCAGAATTCTGGGATAGTGACGTCATGAGTAGATCTACATGGCGGCTAGCGTTTACATGCGAAAATTCGAAACGATAGATTAAAAGTAACTTTTTATGGCACGATTCGGTTTTAAAAAAAATACATGAAAATTATAGTGGGTCATTATCATTCTAGGATTCATTTAAAGCACTTATTGAAAATGGCTGTAATACCCTATAAAGTGACTGACGCTAGGGCCACGGATTTATAAAAACGTAGATATGCCAACGCAGCGTCGATCTTGGTTTTATATGAGGTATAAATCTTGCGTCTAAGGCCTAGGTTTTAATTGATACATTTGTTTATTGTATGGCATTATTTTAATATGATGCATAAATAGAATGGATATTGATAATAATTCTATACCTGTGACAGTGTGGCAAAATATATAGATGTTTCATCGATATATTTTGTCACACTGTCTTATCTTTATTACTACTTTCGTGGACGTTCACTTCTGCTGTCAGCGATAAAATGGCGAAAATCAAATTGCCTTATTATGTCACGGTGTATAGCCAGTCCATATACTTATTGGGTGCGTTTGGCAGAAAAAAGCGCTAGCAAGCGCTTACTAGCGCTAAAATAGTTTTCGGCCAGGACACGATTGCTAGTTCAGTAGCGCTGACACAATCCGTCATTTTGCTTATTTAATTTGTTTATTTTGAAGTATAGTTTATAAGATGTTTTTTGCAATATTAGTTTTAAGTAATATAATGACATGAATAGACATATAAATAAATAAAAATAAATAAAATAAAATAGCCTTTATTTCTACTACAATACGAACTTGACTTATGATTAATGTAGGTAATAATAGTAAAGAATAGTTAATATGTATTTTCTTACGTATAATAATGTATGTATATATATGACTTAGTTAATGTTAGTAGTAGTCGCCTCTGCGGCGTAGGCCTCTCCCAAACCTTTCCACATATCTCTATCCCGAGCCACTCGCATCCATAGCGGACCACCTCTCTGATTAAAAATATCTTTCCACCTTTTACTAGATCTCCCTTTTTTTCTTTTTTTGTCTCTTGGTATCCATTCTGTTGAACGCTTGGTCCATCTGTTATCATTCATTCTACAGATGTATCCTGCCCAGTGCCATTTCAGTAGTCTTGTTCTTTTTCTTACATCTATTATTTTCGTTTTTTTCCTGATGTGGACGTTATTAACCTTATCTGATATTTTTAGACCAAGCATGCTTCTTTCCATTTTACGTTGACATATAGCAATTTTTTCTTCGTCTTCTTTTCTCAGTGACCACGTCTGGCAGCCATATGTCAGGCATGGCAATATCGCTACTTCGTAGAGTTGTTTCTTTATATTTATACTAATATCTTTATTTTTCATTATTTCTTTCAATCCCCAATATTTCATCCAGGCTAGAGTTATCCTTCTTTCTATTTCTTTTTCTGTATTGTTTACGAATGACACTAGCTGTCCTAAATATACATATTCTTTTACATATTAATTTTTTTCATTTGCTATTCTAATATCCTGAGGTAGTCCGTTAGTTAAAATCTTGGTTTTCATCGTGTTCATTGACAATCCCACCTTTTTACTTTCCATTGCTAGTTCGAACACCATATTCTTCAATTCAGTAGCGCTTTCTGCGAAGACCACTATGTCGTCCGCGAAACGCAAATGGTTCAGTAGTTCTCCATCTACCTGTATTCCTTTCTTTTCCCAATTTAGACGTCTGAAAATAGATTCGAGCACCGCTGAAAATAACTTCGGGGAGATAGGGTCTCCCTGCCTTACTCCTTTTTGTATAGGAAATTCTGTACCTTCCTGTTCTAGGCGCACTTTAGCGAGACATTTTGTATATATACTCTTAATTATATTTATATATTTCTGATTGACACCTTGTTGTATAAGTGATGTCCATATAGCTTCGAATTGTAAAGAATCGAATGCTTTTGTGTAGTCTATAAAACACATGTATAACGTCTTCCCATATTCCTTTGCTTTTTCAATAAGTTGGATTATAATTTGTATGTGATCTACAGTCGAATAACTTTTGCGAAAACCTGTTCCCGTGGTTGGTTTTCATCTAGACTGTTTGTTATCCTATTTAATATGATCTTTGAAAAATTTTTATATAAATTTGACATGAGACTGATTGGTCTATAGTTCCCTAGATCACTTCTATCTTTTTTGAACAGTAATATGATTGTAGATTTTGACCATTGATCTGGTGTATTTTCAGTTCTAAGTATGTTATTGAACAATGTTTGAAGAGGTTCCAAAAGTGTAGCGATTAGTGCTTTAAGAACTTCGTTAGCTATATTGTCACTTCCTGGAGTCTTGTCGCTTTTTTTGAGATTTTATTGTGTGTTCGATTTCTGATCTGAGAATGATTGGTGTTTCTGAGTTTGCATTCAATGTATTATAATCGTCTGTTTTTTCACTTAAGAAGGAGCAACTGCTATCTGTGGTGGTATATAGCCTTTTATAGAATTGTGTGGCTTCATTTATGATATCAGGACGTCGTGATTGCATAATTCCCTGTTTGTTTTTCAGTTTTCCTGTCCACTCTGACTTGTCGCTCAACTTTTTAAAAGCTTTACGTAGAGCCCCTGTCTTACCTATAAATTTTTTGAATGTTCTTTGTCGTATTCTTCTTTTTTTGTTGGGTAATATTTCTGTTAATTTTTTTGCTTATTCTTGTTATTTCACATTTTAATTCTTTTCTTCTTTTCTTCTTGTATAATTTTTTTCTCTGTTCTAAGAGATCTTTTGTTTCTTCGTTTATATATTTGTTTACATGTTTCTTTTTCCGTGGCAGCTGTTTCAAAAACTCTTGCAACTCATGTTCTAACTTATCATATTGTTTTTGGACCTCTGTTTGTGTACTAACCGCTTCTATAAATTTGTTTCTCCAGTAGTTAGCGTTGTCTTCTGAAACATCTATTGATTCTCTAGTATAGACGGCAGAGTTTAGCTTCCTTCTTTTTGATTTTGAGGTCAATCATATTTCACATCTTATCATCCTGTGATCAGAATTGAAGTTTAAGTTTTTTATTATATCGAAATTCTTTATACTGGTCGGTTGATTTGTTAATATGTAGTCAATTTCGTTAAAATGTTGACTATTTGGGGACCGCCATGTCCATTTTTTGTGTGGTTTGCATGGGAACATGCTGTTAATGAAGTAGTAATCATTTTCTAGTGCAAATTCTACTAGTCTCTGGCCGTGTGGGCTTCTTTTTCCATGTGCGTATTGTCCAATATTCTTTCCTTCGTTTTTTCGAGCTTTCCCAATTTTTGCATTGAAGTCTCCAAGTAAAATTATATTTTTTTGTGTGAATAGAATCTAAGGCAGATTGCATTGTTGTATAAAAATGCTCTATGTCCTCTTTAGTGCATTGCTCTGTGGGGGCGTATGATTGGACGAGTGACCAGGTAGAGTTATCAGATGTTTGTATTTCAAGTAACGATACCCGATCCGAGAAACTTTTTATATTCACTATATTATTCTTTAAATGTTTTTTAATCAAGAATCCCACTCCATTTCTTCCGTTCGTCCCACATGTATGAAATAAGATAAAATCGGTGTGTTCCTCTATTGCTTCATTTTCTCTTCTTGTTTCACATAAACCTATAATGTCCCATTTTATTGACATAACAGCGTATTTTAATTCTTCTATTTTGCTGTCCGATAATAAGGTCCTTACATTAATACTTGCTATATAGAGATTTTATGGATTTTGTTTTTTGTTTATATTTTTGTTTCTAATCTTGTTTGATTGTTTTTTATTGTGATTTAGGAGGTGGTGGTCTGACTCCTCCACGGTGACCAGCCGGCTTGGGGGAGGTAGAGAGGTTGAAGAGGCGCTTATTAATTTTTTGAAAGATCTTCCACATTTTCTGTTGGTATTGCTCGATTATTGAGATTCTGCTGCGATGGGCGAAGGAAACTGGTTATGGTGTGTGGCTTTTTTTGGTACTTGTTTTGACCTTTCGTGGTCATATTCTTTTGCAGTTTCTTTCTCTGGTTCTTCAGGCGACTTAGACATAAAACGTTTCTTTATGTTTCTGTTTCTTTCTGTGTGTGTATGTACTTCAGATTCAAGTGGTTTTAGTGTCACAATTTTATCGTAGCGTAAAGCCACTCTTTTTCCTGACTCTCTTTCGCGTTTAAGGTCTTCTTGTAACTCTTTCCATTTTTGTAAGACGCTAGGTGTAAAATATTCTTTCAGATAAATATTCATACCCTCTAGCGATTTTTTATTTTTAAATATCTCTATTTTCCTGCTTGTTGTTGTTATTGTGACAACCACTGGTCTGACTTTTCCTGATTTTTTCCCCATTTAACGTGTTCAATTTCCCATTTATGGCAATGTATTTTCATCTTGTTATTAATGATATCTAAAACAATGGAGAGTAAACTTTCATACCCCTTTTCTGTTTCTTCGATCCCAAAAAATATAACATTTTTACTTCTGAGCTGCTTATCTAAGATTTCTATAGTTTTTTGTTGTTGTTCAATTTTCATTTCTAACTGTTTTGTTTTATTCTCAAAAATTAGAAATTTTTCGTCTATGTTATTATTTATAGATTCTTTGATATTTAGCTCCATCTCTTTCATTTCTTGTTTGGTTTTTGATATGTCATTTTGTATATTTTGTAAAATTTTTATGACCTCTTCCACTGTAAACGTACAAAAACACGCCCTCTATTGGAATTGCATCAAAATGTTTAGTATTAATTGCTTGCGCTTGCACTTGCTTGCACAAGGTTTGAATCGTATCTTGTAGATAGTTCTGTTGTTTACCGATAGATGGCGCTATTGTGAGTATTTTGATTGCAATGACTTTTAACTTTTTTCCTGGGTTTAATTTGAGGTTATAACATAAACAAGATTTGCCAAACCTCTTTTTTTATCTTTATTATGTGTTTAGATTTCAATAACCGGTTTAGCTGTTGATCTTGCGTGTTGATTTCTTCAAGATTTCACAATAGAAGCGTCTTTTGAGTTTAACTCACAACGGTTTTTCGGATATTTGTACGTGAATATCAGTTTTGTGAAGCACATAACATTTGCCCGAAGAATTCACAACTTAATTCAGGTGTTTATCACTATTACACTTCGATTTACAAGCTTTTAGATTTAATAAAGCACATTTATATAGCAGAGCCAATGTAAACATGAGCACAGTCGCGCCCTCTCTCTCTGTTTGTTTTGAAGTAGAGTTTATAAGATGTTTTTTGCAATATTAATTTTAAGTAATATAATGACATGAGTAGACATATACATGTTATTAAAAATTCATGATTGGTAAGTTTTAATATGAATACTTCACAAACATATATTTAAATTAGGTTAGGTTCCCCGGTTAAAACTAACATCGTGTCCTAGAGGAAAATAGCTACTTACGATTTGACAGCGCTTACCGCTTACGATCGCCATTTTGCTTACAAGCGCTTGCTAGCGCTTTTTTCTGCCAAACGCACCCATTATGTTTTATATACGTCTATGATATATACAGGTCAGTGCTCGATGTCAGACAATCATCTACAGCTACACCGTCTTTAAGATGATGGTACTACTACGTAATACTATTATTTATTCTGTGGTACTACTCTATGACCATTTTAATTTCATTTCATTCGCTAATTACTGGGTGCGTTTGGCAGAAAAAAGCGCTAGCAAGCGCTTGTAAGCAAAATGGCGATCGTAAGCGGTAAGCGCTGTCAAATCGTAAGTAGCTATTTTCCTCTAGGACACGATGTTAGTTTTAACCGGGGAACCTAACCTAATTTAAATATATGTTTGTAAAGTATTCATATTAAAAACGTACTAATCATGAATTTTTAATAACATGTATATGTTTATTCATGTCATTATATTACTTAAAACTAATATTGCACAAAACAACTTATAAACTCTACTTCAAAACAAACAAATTAAATAAGCAAAATGGCGGATTGTGTCAGCGCTACTGAAGTAGCAATCGTGTCCTGGCCGAAAACTATTTTAGCGCTTGTAAGCGCTTGCTAGCGCTTTTTTCTGCCAAACGCACCCACTATTCACTTTCGTTTCGTTCATAGTTTCCATTCGTTGTTTCGTTCAGTTTCACATGAATAATTTTACTGACGTCTTGTCAACTTGTCATTTTCATGGCGCGTTTTAGGATGTAATAAAATGTAGTGTATCCATGTAGTTAGTAACTAAACGAATTATATATCGTAATTTCTTTTGTAGCATTCAATAATTTATGTGATTACAGTGTAGTATTGACTAGTCCTAACTTGCGTGGTATTTGCTTTGTTTAGAGGTTATGTCCATATCGATACAATATTTTGTAACAAAACTTAAAGGAGAATGACAGACGGAGACGCTAGTAGTCATAGCCGCGTGGTGGCAATACCATGGCCGTTTATAAAAAGAAAAGTAGAATGTGCAGGGGCTGCATTCCTAAGATATCATAACATTAAATGTCATGGTGAAGATACCCAATCGCTAACGTTGACATCAAAAGAAAACATTAAAGAAGTGGTCTTTGAAGACGATGTGGAATATCTGCGAAGCTTGGACCCTAAGGAATGGAAGCGGCAAGATCACTATGCTGTACTGGGTATGAAAGATTTGCGTTATAAAGCTACTGAGGATGATATAAAGAGAGCTTATCGTCAAAAAGTTCTTAAGCATCATCCAGATAAGCGGAAGGCACAAGGGGAGGAGGTGCGAAGTGATGATGACTATTTCACATGCATTACCAAAGCTTACGAGACTCTTGGAACACCAAACAAGCGGAAATCATATGATTCCATAGACCCTATGTTTGATGACTCCATACCTACATCGGCTGAAATAAAAAAGGAGGGTTTCTTTAAAGCCTTTGCTAAATATTTTGAAATGAATGCTCGATGGTCTGAAAAAAGAAATGTACCGTTATTAGGTGATGATAAGAGTTCACGTGAAAATGTTGAAAGATTTTATGCATTCTGGTATGAGTTTGAGTCTTGGCGTGAATTCTCTTATTTGGATGAGGAAGAAAAAGAGAAAGGTGCAGACAGAGAGGAGAGGCGATGGATAGAAAAACAAAATAAAGCAGCAAGAGCAAAATTAAAAAAGGAGGAAATGGCAAGGATACGTAGCTTGGTAGATTTAGCATATGCAAATGATCCAAGAATCCAGCGCTTTAAGCAGGAAGATAAGGACAAGAAGTTAGCAGCTAAACGTGCCAGACAGGTATATAGTTTTGAAAACCTAACTACTCTGATAAGTTTTTATATAATAATAATGTCCTCCAGATCAAATTTCGGCCACCGCGGCCTGCCTCAACGGAGGATAGCCATCGGCACAGGACAAATTTATGGTGACCAAGTGTATGTGCAAGCACAGGTGCCATCTCTATTCCCTCACTCTCATAATCTGATAAGATGGTAAACCGACACGACCGGAGAGAGATCAAATGCAGGACCAATGGCTTTATGTGCTTTCCAAGGCACGAGGGTGAGACACCACCAACTTCCTGGGCTTCCTTCCAAATCTGGGCAGCTACTGATAATTTCTTCTTTATTTGATATTGATTATTAATTGATTTTTTGGCCCCACCCGGGATTCGAACCCAGGACCTCATGATCAGCAGTCACACTACTACAACCACTAGACCAACGAGGCAGTCGTTTTATATAATATTATAGTAGCAGACATGCTATAAGTCCAGCTGATGGTATGTGGCTACAGCAGCACATGTACAACTCCATAGGACTAAGATGGAATATCTCAAAGTCTGTTATTATGCTTCCTTACCTTTCAAATAGGAACACAGGAGTGCACAGCTGTTTAATGACATAAATAGTGGATGGATAAATAGTGATGGCAATGGGCAAATTAAAGTCTTGGTGTACTTATCCCTGTGGTTGATGCGATTAAAAGCTTTTTCCCTGTTAATAATTTTAATCAATATTCAGGACAATTACGCATTGAAAGGAAAACAATTACTAAATAACCAGTCTAGCATCCTAGCCGTGCGAGTAACTCGCCCCACCTGTCCGCGTATTAAATGTAACTTTTTTATTACAACCGCACAAGACACTCAACAAAAACGATTACTTCTGTCAAACTACTATAGCTACATTCAAATAAAAAATATTCACGAAAAGCTCAAAAAAATCAGAATTCCATTTTGTTAACACAAAATTGCTCAAATTATGGTATATCAAAAAAATGATAGTATTTATTTTTTATTTCGAGTTTTACAAGAAAAGTTTAATAGTTACTGGAGACTATTATTTTAAATTATAATAGTACATGATATACCCTTTAAAATAACACTAATATCTTAATATTATTTACTCCATGATTTCTTATATTTACGCAAACACTACACATTGATTAAAACTACTTATATGTATTTTATCGTTTTTAATTTTAATTATTTATTATGTGAGGCATCAACATTCTGGGAAGTCTGCAGTGTGTCATATCCTAGACAGCCCCAACCATTTCATCAGATTTGATAGACCACAAATCCTCGCGAAAGAACACCGATTCCTACCTAGGATGATATGTGAGGTTATTGAAATTAAAAAACATCCTAATTTGAATAGAGGAGGAGTCTGGGTACTACCACCTGCTTGGGAACCTATAATAAATAAAATTAAAACTAAACCCAAGCATACCACTTCAAGACACAGTCAGTTCATTTTGCATAGATCAGACCATAAACGATAATTAAAAAAGCTGAAGGTACTCCGGGTTTAACAATAACATCGGGACATCAGTCATCGCAGTCCCCCATGACTATGGGTGCTGGAAAGCACCAGAAACGATGGGAATTATAAATAATTAAAATGAAACGTGATAAAATCCCTTAAAGTAGTTTTAATTAATTATTTACTCAGTTTAGATAAATATATAACATTTACTCAATATAAATATTCACTCCCCAACGCAATCATGAATTACATGAGTTGCATTTTAGTAATTTCTAGACACATCTCAATATATTTGTTTTATAAATAATAATAATCTTTATTGATAAACATATTACACGGTCATTAGCCCCTAAACTAGGATATAATACCTGTATTTCAGGGGCTAGTTTCCTTCCCTATTCTACTATAATTTGTTTAACAAGTATTGTTTAAAATGTAAAATTTATGACAATAAAAAAGGGGAATAAAAAATCTGAGTGCGCGCGTGAGTGCGGGCGTGCGTGGGCGTGCGTGAGTGCGTGGTGCGTGAGTGCGTGCGTGCGTG